TCGTGTTTAGGGGGTTAAAATGCAGACGAGGTACATGGAAAGAACAAACTCTATGAAAGGGCGAGGGAAAAGGAGCTTGGAAGGTGGCGATGAAGAAGAGCAGCAGGAGTCGGATCGAAAGAGACCGGCTTTAGCGAGGTAACGGAGTTGCAAATTTTCATCATTTCTTTGTGCTCCATGGTTTTCTTTATTATGTATCTTTAAGCATCAATTTTTTTGATTCTTGGTATACCAGAAATAATGAGCAACAGTCTTATGTGTCATTCGTTATAAAATTTGTATTCATTCGTCGGTGAAGTATGTGAGAACTTGTGCAGAACTGATCGCTAACCTACTTTTCTGAATTAAGTCTAATGGGACTAGGAATGCCTCCATACATTTTATGTACTTCTGATGTGATTCTCTTTATTTGTTGTGGTATGTTAGATTGTCAAGCCAATCTCTATCTCAATGGCAGCGATTTTCGTTTACTTAAACTGATTGGAAGGAGTTAAATAATGAGTATTATGCTTAATGCAGCGTTATTGTGGAAGCTCTAAAGGTGGATAGTCTCCAGAAGCTTTGCTCATCTTTGGAACCAATTCTCCGGAGAGTGGTAATGATTAGTGCCTTGTCAATTCCGTTGTGGAATTTTCCTGTTTGTGTTTGTTTGTGTTTATCTGATATTTTTCACTGGATGATACCACCTAAATATCTCCTTGGATTCTTTTAGTACTTTAGAATTAAGGATCCCTGATTCCTGTTTGCATGTACCCTGGAATAATATCTGAACATTAGGAAAAACCACTCTTTCTAAAAATTTTATAAGAATATATATATATTTTTTTAATTTTTTTTATATTATGCTCTATCTATTTTAGTTTATTTATGAGAAATATGTGAAACATGCCTGTATCTTTTCAAAAGGCAAGTGATGTGCTGTACAATATATATTAAACATGCGCGACATGTGGGCAGAGTGGCAAAGTTATCAATACATTCAAATAAACATGTATATCAATTTATAGCTATGGTTATTGACATTGTTATGAGGTTCTCCTCGAGCTTTGTCTTATTAATTCCCTTTTCTTTGATAGGTTAGTGAAGAAGTTGAACGAGCTTTGGCTAAGCTGGGCCCTGCGAGACTTGAAGGAAGGTTTGAGCTTTTATTTCATTACTTGCACACTCGGGTGACTTGATATCTTGAGGAGCTTATCTGTAATTTCACTGCCAACTTGTTCAGTGTTTTAAATCTTGATGTGATTATTACGAAAGAATATTACTGTTTCGGCCAGAAAATTGTTGTGCTGACATCTTTTCATGGTGTATTTTTTTAGGGCTATGTGTTGATTCGGTGTTAAGGGCCGTCTCAGGTCTATGCTTTTTTCCCTGTGTGGTTTTGCTATGAGTTTTTGTTTGTGGGGCATTACAGAGAAGTGAAGATTATTAAGTAGACTATGCAAACTTGCAAATTCAATGTTAGTAGAAGGATTCGTGAGAAGAGGAGCCTCTGGGGCTATCGTAGTGAGAACATTACGATAGGTTCTCTTCCAATTATCTGGCAGACTATTGTGATGATATAGTAGAGGACGTTTGAGTTTTTGCTAATTATGTATGGTCATGCTTTTTGAAACTCTTGATAGGTATCTTTTGCGTCTATTTGTTGATCAAATGTTTGTAATACTGATTACATTTGTAATTGCACATTCTACAATCATAAGTATCAAGGTGTTTATTTGCATTTGTATTTGTGGTATTACTAACACTCTTGAGACTTCAGGTCATCATCACCTAAACGAATTGAAGGTCCGGACGGGAGAAACTTGCAGCTCCACTTTAGGTCTAGGCTTTCTCTTCCACTTTTTACTGGAGGGAAAGTAGAGGGTGAACAAGGTGCCGCTATTCACGTTGTGCTAATAGATGCTAACACGGGCCATGTTGTAACATCTGGTTCCGAATCCTCTGTGAAGCTGGATGTCATTGTGCTGGAAGGAGATTTTAACAATGAGGATGGTGAGGGCTGGAGTCAGGAGGAATTCGAGAGCCACATTGTTAAAGAACGCGAAGGAAAGAGGCCTCTTTTGACTGGGGATTTGCAAATTACCCTGAAAGAAGGTGTTGGCACTCTTGGTGATCTAACCTTTACGGATAATTCGAGCTGGATAAGGAGCAGGAAGTTCAGACTTGGTCTGAAAGTTGCGTCAGGATATTGTGAGGGAATACGCATTCGGGAAGCGAAAACAGAAGCTTTCACTGTCAAAGATCACCGTGGGGAATGTAAGTAGCTTATTTCATTTATTTATATTTGGAGTTCTTACCAGTGCACGGTTATTTTGATCTTTTTGTAAAGCAACGATAAGGCGTTAGTCAAGTGCTGGACAGTGATATCAAATGGTGGTCATGGCGGTAGGGCGTGGAGATTTCTGCCAAACCACTGTGCAAAATCATGAAGGATGGCAGTTATGGCGGCGATAGGCTGCCATGGCAAGGTTTTGGTCTGCCGCCAATTACCGCCATCCGCCATTTCAATAACATTGGTTCTGAATGAATTAATAAAGAGTTGGAAATAAGTAGATTTTGGTCTGGCGCCATTTGCTGCTAAGCTTTGACTCATCTGTTGACATTTCTTCACTCTGAATCTGGCCCATATCTGATGCTTGTGCATTATAGATATGTATCATCTCGAATTATTTGCCGATTTAGTGTCTTTACTTCTTGCAGTGTACAAGAAACACTATCCACCCGCTCTGAATGATGAAGTATGGAGATTGGAGAAGATCGGGAAGGATGGATCATTCCATAAGAGGCTCAACAATTCAGGGATATATACCGTTGAGGACTTCCTGCGGTTTGTGGTCAGGGACCCTCAGAAATTGAGGAGTGTAAGTATCTGCAAATTATTTCTGCATTTGAAATGTATTTTTTGAACTATCTAACTTACATATATTTGGTCTGGTTGTTAGATCCTTGGAAGCGGTATGTCGAATAAGATGTGGGATGCTCTCATCGAACATGCCAAGACTTGTGTTTTGAGTGGGAAGCTTTATATCTATTACCCAGATGATACAAGAAATGTTGGTGTTGTTTTTAACAATATCTATGAGCTGAGTGGCCTCATAGCTAATGATCAGTACTATCCAGCAGATTCACTCTCTGACAGTCAGAAGGTACGCTAATAATCCTTCTAATATAATTGTGCCGTACCTAGTTTTTGTTGCTCCAAGTTATGGGTCTTCTAGCTTACATATATGCTAGTTATTTTTTTTCCTTTCTGTCAATGATCTCATAATGTAACATGGAAAAATATTGATCCCCTGAAATTTTCATGCTTTATCCTTTTGTTTTGTTTCATGTAGTATTGAAATAAATCAAGCTGTTCAGAAGAAACAAAAGGAATAGGTGCCTATTATTGACTGCATGTCTAAAATTATGAGAAATTCTTTTGATTTCCAAATGTGGATTCGTTTGTTCCCAATGTAAGTTATTTAGCTGTACTAAAAATGAACTCTTGTATTATTTATTTGTTAGAGGAAGTGTTATCAAATGGCGGCCATGGTGGTATGGCGTGGCAGATTTTTGACAATCCACCATGCTAAATTTGTGTAGGATGGCGGTTATGGCAGCGCCATAGGCCGGCCACCCTGGCAGCCGCTATGACAGAATTTTGGCAAACCGCCATCTTCCATTAATAACACTGGTTAAAAGTGTTCCAATTTTGGTCCTACCTGCTTTGTCGTTTTGTGTGCTTTGTCAATTGTTTCTTTGCTTCTACTTTGGGAAGATGTGTTTTTAGTTCCTCTTAATTGTGAAGATGTGCTTCTAGTTCCTTCTGTAAGAGGAACTAATATCGTTGTAACTTTATCAAGAAATTATTGTTTCTAATTACCTACTGAATAGTGCAAAGGATGCCTATGGTTTATACAATCTTCTCCATACGATTTCCATTAATTTTGTCTCCAAGGACTCTATTACCTGGTGCTTAACTAGATGAATTTGAAGTACGTTATTTCATAAACTTCATCTTATGTACATAATAAGTATATTTTAAAACAAAGTATTGATGGTCTAATTTATCACAAGATACCTTAATATTTTTATGTACTTGTTTAATGTGCTTGTAATTTTGATTAAGGCCGTTATATGCGAAACTGCAAGTACATTTTCCTAAGGTGAGCTATGTATGTCCTTATCCAATATGTGTAGGTTTATGTGGATGCCTGGGTAAAGAAAGCATATGAAAATTGGAATCAAGTTGTGGAGTATGATGGAAAGTCTCTGGTAAATTTCAAGCAAGTTAAAAAATCGAGCACATCAAGAAGTGATTTTACCCTGGGACCGGCTAACTACTCTCAGCCATTGGACAATCAGCTTCAACCACAGAG